GGGCAGAAGTGGGGAGAATATTCAGGAGGCTACTCCAGGAATCCAGGTGAGAGGTGATGGAGAGAGTGGTGGCTGTGTGAGAAGTGACCTGATTCTGGATATATGTTAAGTAGAGTGTGCAGGAGTTGCTGATAGAGTAGGAAGATGTGAGTTCGGGGAAAAAGGGAGAACTCCGGGGTGGGTAAAGCTATTGGAAAATTTGCAGAAGTAAGGGAAGAAAGGAGATGTGTTGAAAGTAGTATGTCTTTATTGAATGTTTAGTGTGTATCAAGCATCATGCTAAGTTCCTTATCTGTATCACTTCACTTAATTCTTCTGACAACCTTAATTTGCAATGAAGGAACTAAGGCCAAGAGAGGGAAAGTGACTTGCCATTCACGGAGCAGATGTCAGGCCAGGCACCGCTACAGGGCACACTCTGTGAATTAGCCCACATCATACAACCTCTGTCTTCTCTGAGAAATGGAAGTTTACCCAGAGTTGGGGAAAGAAGGTGTAGTAAGGTAAGATCAAGATTGGGAGTTCAAAAAATGTTGAGTGTTTTCTCGAAAAATGTACATCAAAGATTTAAACATGATAATCAGATGATTTTTTGACAATGCTTTCTTTAGGGGAGTCAGTGTGGTTTGGGGCTCACCTTCTTGTGGCTATGTATGCTATGTCTAGATAAGAAAACGACTGAGCTGCGATCTTTCTAGACCTTTCCAAAAGTAACCTCAATCACTGAGTGATCCCTTCTGCTGCCACAACTGGTGTGGAACCAATTCCCAGCTCCCAGTCCTATGAGATAAACATCCTCATGATCGTATTTAGCATAAACATTGACCTGAAATGGAGCAGGCTGGCAAGATGGAAGTTGAGTCATGACATATTTATTAAGCTGAGCACTGAGTTTGACACTCAGAGGAACACCAAAATGATTCAAGACACATTTCTTGCCCTTAAGGGGCTTACAACATTGGCTTGGCTGGAAGACCACCCAATATCCATTAGGATGGAGAAATCAAATCTCCACTTTTGGACTCACTGCACTGCTCAGAGTGACAGGCCAGGAGATTAAAAGGGTCTTGGTGCATATGGAATGCATGCGCGGCCTGCAGCCCCTCAGCCTGTGTGCATTAACTCCACAAGCAGCCTGGCTGCAGAGTGAAGGTGGCTGTTTGTGCATAAACATTGTCATTTCACTGGGACTGCTATTTCATCTTTGAACCTTGGCATCAAAGGAACACTGACCTTATTCCTGTAGCTTGCCTTTCTTTGAAGCGTATGGCTTTGCATTGCAGATTAAAGTGAAGACATTCATCAAGGAACAGATCTGGCCAACTGCTCTCCAAACTCAACCCGAAACAAAGCCTTGAAAGACTCCAATCACAGTTGCAGTGGAGTGGGCTGAAGATGAAGGCTCAGAGCCCGGCTCCTCTTTCTCAGATCCTGTAACGCAGCTCTTGCATGAAACAGTGCATCCTTTGAGCTCTGGGCAACTTTACCCTGAGAGTGAGTCTATCTCTGCAGAAAGGGGTGAGCTAGTGCAATGTCCCTAACCTGTCCTGCTCCTTTGATTTAAAGAAGCCACTGTTGCAAATGAGGCCAGTGTGATCATTCACTGTGTGCCTTTGAATGCTTCAAAAGATGTGTCAGGCACAACCACCTGAAACTTGGCTGATAATGCTGTCAATTTTCTTTTTCTTCTACTTTCCTTTGTTTGTTTCTTTGAAAATAAACTGTCCTATATTTCTCCCTCATTCTCCTATCTTGCCTCTAAAAAAACTGGACCGTACACATGACATTCTCTGTTTTTTTTTTTTTTTTCTTAAGATGACAAGAGGAGTAAAGTGATAAACTTTAAATGCGAGGTAAAAAAAATAACCAAAGAATTACTTAGGTATAAGGCTAAGAGAGAGAAGCATGGGAAATATCTCCTACCTCAGGGGAAGAAAAATTGATGGCAGATGATTACTCATGTCTTTAATGTAATCTTTCTTCCACTGTGATCAGATCAACAGAGCAAGTTCTGTCTGTGATGAAGTGGTAAGCCAATCCAGAGGACGGAAGGAAATGATTGTAAAGTTGCGTACATGTAAAGCAACTGATTCGGATGACATATACAACAAAGGACTCCGGAAATGAGTGAAAATTTTTGTTGAGACACAAGTTAATTTCTAGAATAACTTTTTCCTAGTCACTTGTCTTTAAAACAAGACCAAAGAATAATTCTAGTCATTCTGAGACAATTCACTTAACTTGCATTTTTGCTTAAAACTCAAATAATTGATTTTCCATTAAGAAACACTTGAAGTTTAAGAAGAGAATTAATATGGCTTTATGGGAAGCCAGTAGTTCCAGGCTAGTTTTTTCATACAGTGGAAAGCTTGTGGAGGAAAAGATGCCGCTCTATATGGCTTCAATGTTAAAAGGTTAAAAGATACCTGTTTACGACAGGCATAGTGGCTCACACCTGTAATCCCAGCACTTTGAGAGGCCGATGTGGGCAGATCACTTGAGGCCAGGAGTTCCCGACCAGCATGGCCAACATGGTGAAAACCCATCTCAACTAAAAATACAAAAATTGGCCAGGTGTGGTGACTCATGCCTGTAATCCCGGCATTTTGGGAGGCCAAGGTGGGTGGATCACCTGAGATCGGGAGTTTGAGACCAACCTGGCGAAACTCCGTGTCTACTAAAAGTACAAAAAATAGCCAGGTGTGGTGGTGGGCACCTGTAATCCCAGCTACTCAGGAGGCTGAGGCAGGAGAATTGCTTGAACCCAGGAGGCAGAGGTTGCAGTGAGCTGAGATCACAGCATTGTACTCTAGCCTGGGTGACAAGAGTGAAACTCTGTCTCAAAAAAAAAAAAAAAAAAAAATTAGCTGGGCATGGTGGTGCGCGCCTGTAGTCCCAACTACTCAGGAGGCTGAGGCAGGAGAATTGCTTGAGTCTGGGAGGTGGAGGTTGCAGTGAGCCCAGATCACGTCACTGCCCTTCAGCCTGGGCGACAGAGCAAGACTCTGTCTCAAATTTTTAAAACTCCCCCAAAAAAAGAACCTCCCCTCACCAAAAAAAAGGTACCTGTTTATCCAATCTGTATCCCTTAATTTACCCCGGCCTCTTTTTGGGGTGTGGCCATATGACTAGTTTTGGCCAATAGATTGTAAACAAGGTGATAAGAATCACCTCCAGGCTGACCCTCCCTTTCTTTTTACCTTGGTAACCATGGGGGCCATGTGTTGAGATGACGAACCCTTAAGGTGAAAGCAGCCTGAGTCACTGTCTTCAAGGACAAGCACTGTGTAGAGAGCTGACTGATTGGTATTAGATGTGATGCAAACAAGAAATACCTTGGTTCTGTGAAGCCACTGAGATCTACAGGGTTTATTTATTATGGTGTCAAAACCTCCCTTATCCTGACTAATCCAGGATCTTATCTTAGAGGATATCTAGTCCTACTTCACTTCTGTCATAATGATGCTTCCTACAGCATCTCTGAGAAATGGTTCAAATACTTGTTGATCACCTCAGAAACAACAGCAAATAACAGTAGCAAGCAATTATATAATGCTTACTAATAATTGTCTCCAGACACAATGCTAAATATTTTATACAGATTAATGTATCTACTTCTCACAAAAGCCTTGGCTCCTAAATATCATTTTTTCTCACTTTATAACTGGATGAATTGAAGTACAGAGAAGTTGAGTCACTTGCTCGGGTTTGAATAGATAAGTCACTTGTCTAAGGTCACACACGAGTGAATAGTATCACAGGAGTCAGATCCAGGCAGCTACCTTCAGTCTCATACCATAAGGGCTTCCTAGACCGGACTGTCGTTTTCTTTTCACAAAGACCAATCAATAAGATGCAGAGTCATAACACTGAAAAGGCAAGCTGGAAGGAATCCTAGAGATCAGCCAATCATTGCATTTCATATGGAGGAAAAAATATCCTCCTGCAGGCCTTTACCCTGCTTTAGTGAAAAAAACTCCTGTCTTTCAAACAAGTGTCTTGGGAGCACTAGGGCTCAGTAGAAGGGCCCCAAGGGGTATCAGTATGGGGGTAAGTGAAGACACTAACTAGATCAGCCTTGTTCTTATCTGTTTTATGCAGTAGGCTTCTGGTAAAATTTGTATGTGAATATTCTGCTGCTTTAATAATACCGAAAAGTGATGGAGTACCCCACACTTCTATTGAAATAGCAGGCTTGGAGGGTTGCATTAAACAATGTCGGACTTCAGGACAGCTGGGAAGTGAGGTGAGGCACATGGATTGTACAGTCCAATGGCCAGGATAAATTGGCTACTTCCATAAATGTGCTCACCAGCTTGCCTGGCAGCAAGAACTGCCTTCTTCAGCACCGTATCCCCTCTGGTGTGTGACATGCGGTAGAATCTCTATAAACCATCTCTGCAAAATGGAGGGAGAGTTCCAAGAGGCTTTTATGAAACAACTTTTCAAAAAGGATTAATTTGGGTTGAGCAAGGTAACACAGTTTAGCTCTGTTCCCATTGGCAAAGAAATGGCTGGAAGGTTATTGTGTGTGTTTTGTCTATATATCCTCAAATGGCCAGTGGTGGCCTTCCATTGCCCAACCTCTGGCTATAAAAAATAAAAGGATGAAAAATTGGATATTAAATTGGCTACTTTGGTCTTAGGGAAACACAAGTGACAGCCCCAAGCAAGCATAGGCAAGCATGTGCATGCAAGCGCACGCGCGCACACACACGCAAACACACACACACACTATATTTGCTTCATTTCAACATAATTGATCACACAAAATTATCTCAATTTGCTGTTCACAATGAGGTAAATTAGAAAGTTTTCTTTGCTTTAACGAAGGGTTTTTGTGTGGTGTGCTAACAGCAGTTTTTGTGCATTTATCACATGGCTTGATTTACAAATAGGGTTCTATAAGATAAAGGTGTGTATTTGAGAAGTGGAAAAGTTAATGAGGCAGAAGGGAGACAGAGCTATGCAAGAGCTGTGCTCTATGCGGATCCTCTTACCTTGTGTGGTCCCATCCATTCCCATGAGATGTTTTAGTGATCTGATGATTTGCTCTGCTATCGGTGGGCTCATGGATGAAGCATAGACAGCACTATGCGAGTGAACCCGTAAATAATCCACAAGGTCCTTAAATAAAGAGGGAAAACACAGAAAGAAGGCAAGTAAATCTCAACACTGGTGGTGGAAATTACATCTAGTCCCATCCCCATCTTCATAGCAAAAGACATTTGATCTCACAGCTCAAAAGAGGAATGGGGTCCAACTCTCAATGGTTTTCATCAAACTCTTTTTTCTATTTCCTTCATAGTTTCTCCCTCAAAAACCTAGAATCTACAGCAAAGCAGGATGCTGCAAATTTGGAGTTGAACTTTAAGGCAAAACCAGATGTGTGAAGAAAAAATGATCTCTGAAGCATTTGTTGAGTACCTACTATGTGTGAGCACTGACTCTGTGTTCAGTGCCCAAAGAACACAGGATGTGGTCCTTGCCCTTGAGAATATTACATGTGATTGTGCCCATGAACAAGCATGGTAGAATAAGTCACAGTCCATGCAAACTAGGACATACAACAGGGCTGCAAGATGCAGAGGAAAGAGAGAGGGTCCTTCTAGCTGAAGTAGATAGAGAAGGTTCCAATGAGGAGATATGATTAAGCCTTGAAGAATGAAGATAATTAAGGAGGAAAGGAAAACGTGGAGGGAGGGTGGCAGAAGAGAGAAGCTGAACATAGGAGCACAAGCAAGAAAGCAGAAGGCATGTACAGTAGAGTGTTTACAAAAAATAGCTGTAATTCTCTCACTGCCTGTAACCATGCATCTTTGCAATTCAACTTTGCAGCTCCCTCCATCAAAAGGCGGATTAATCTGGGCTGGCCTTGTGACTTTCTTTGTCCAGTAGTATATGGCAGAGATGATGGTGTGGTGGTTCTGAGTCTATGCCTCAAAATGCCTTGAGTGCTTTTGTCCTCTCAGAACTCTCTCCAGCTGCTATGTGAATAAGCCTGAGCTAGCTTGCTGGAGGATGACAACCATGTGGAATAGAGAAGGACCACTCCAGCTGAAGCTACCGCAGGCCAGGCAGTGCCCTGCTGACTCAGCAATGGACTGTTGTACAGAAGCAAGTCCAGATGAGACCAAAAGAACTCCTCAGCTGAGCCCAGCCCACATTGTTGATGGACAGAATTGGAAGCTAAATAAATGGTGGTGATTTTAGACACCAAATTTGGGGGTGGTTTGTTACACAGCAAAAACTAATGGAGGCAGCGTGTTTGGAGGACAGCAAAGGACAGTTTGAGTACAGGTTTGTGGGAAATGAAACCAGAATATAGGTTAGGACCAGATAAACTCTGGTTATGCCTTGGGCAGCAGATAACTACTGGAATTTTGTGTATTTTGTGTAACACTCTTTGGAATGCTGAGCTGTTACAGAATTCTGGTCTTCAGTGGGAGGAGCCATTTTTCACCTGTATGCCTGATTCCTGAGGCCAAATGTAAGGTCCCAAGTAAGCTTGCTGAAAGCCTTAAGAAGCTCCAGTAACCTAATGCCTCAGTGGTGAGGGCCTCAGAGCTGGCATCTGCAGGTGCTCAGTTGGATTGCAGAGACCCTCCATCAGCCTACCTACAGTGTCTCATGGCCTGGGACCCTCAGAGTGTCCTTCAGAAAAGCTAATGGGCTGATGGCAGCCCTCTGCATTAGCAGTGGGGTCTTTAAAGGATCAGGTGCCTTCTCTTTAGAATAATGGCACAGCTTAGAATCCCACTTAGGCAAGTGTCTTCGCTATGTCTTCCTTCCTCATGAAGGTGATTTGGAAAGAGCTCTTGGGAATCGAGATCCTCTGCTTTGGGGTAGGTTCATGTCCTCCTCACCCTCCTTCATTAGTCACATTCATTCCCACCTCCGAGCCTGGTCCTGTTCCCTGCCCATCACTATTCCATCTCTCTTGGGTATGTGTGGGCATTGTTGCTTATAAGCATTTTCAACAGTCACAGTTTCTCTTCCTCAGAACAGTGTGTGGCCTGCCTTATAGTGGTTGGTGAAGGTTAAATTAATGATGTGATGACTCTACCTGGTCCATGAGGGGAACCAGGGAATCTGTTCTGTTCTTCCTGCCTTCTTCAATATGTCTTTCATTCTGAATCTCCTCGTCCACCCATCCTTCTTCTATGACTTCCCTTTTCCATCTTCTCCTTCACTTCAAACTATTCCTTTTGTTTTTTGTTTCTTCCTTTCCTTCTAGCTTCCTTCCTTCCCCTTCTTGTCTACTCTGATTCTCTGTCTCTCTCCCTCTCTCTTTTCATTTCAAATTTTTTATTTAAATCCTTTTCTTCTCTGTATTTCAAAGTATTTCCTCCCTCCCTCTCTCCCTCCCTTCCTCCCTCCCTCCCTCCCTCCCTCCTTTCTTTTCTCTTTTCTTCTCCCCCTCCCTCCTTCCACCTTTCCTTCCAGCAAGAATATACCAGTAACTTTCTACATCCTAGACATGTGTGGGAGTCCAGGAGGGGAGGGAGGATAGAAAAGGACCATAGGGCTAGTCCCTGGCATCGGTTATCCATTTATATAAATGAAATTAAGTTTTTTGCTGATTCTTTTATTTGGTGAGCCTCATGAAAAAAGCTGGGTGGGTTTTCCCCATATCTGAAGAGTATGTGCATGATGCTGGCCTGACTGAATTCATCAGCCACAGGGTATCCAGAAAGTTCACTTTGGAGTATCTGAGGTGCCTCAAATAGATGACAGCAGTCATGTGCCAGAGTAGCTACAGTCAGGGCTGTCCTTCACAGTGCCATGTTCCGTGCTCCTGGGGGGCAGCAGCAGGGATTGCCTTTCTCTGTTGGAGTGAATATCTCCCTACAGGATGCAGGGGAAGTCAACAAGGAGACGGTGGGTGGGTCCTGGGAATTGGATGATGGAGGCTCATGTGGACCTCTGTCAGGAACAAGGTGTTTCAAGGGTGTGATCTGGCCATGAGGGATGGGGAGATTTGAATAGATGCAGAGGAGCAAAAAGGCATGGGTCTGTCCTAAAATTAGGAATAAGGATGGCATCTTATGAGCACAGAATGGAGATGTCATTGGGAAGAGAGGGAGAAGCCAGTGCTTCTGAGACAAGGGGTTAAGGAGCTGTCCCCTTGGAGGGAGTATAACCCAGGAGTTACAGCGCAGCCTCTGGTGCCCAATAGCTTGGATTCAAATCCTGGCTTTGCCACTTACTGCTGTGTGACTATGGGTCAGTTACTAAATCTCTCTGTGCCTTAGTTGGCGTCTCTGAAAAATGAGATCATAGTAATACCTGTCTCGGAGTTTATGAGGATGAAATGGGTGAATACATATATGAGATGCTTAGAAAAGCATCCGGTACACAGTGAAACAGTGAATGCCTGATGCAGTTGGTAACTTTTTTTTTTTTTTTTTTTTTTTTTTTTTTTCTGTCGGCCAGGCTGGAGTGCAGTGGCATGACCTTGGCTCACTGCAACTTCTGTCTCCTGCGCTCAAGCAATTCTCCTGCTTCAGCCTCCAGAGTATCTGGGACTACAGGTGTGTGCCACTACGCCCGGCTAATTTTTGTATTTTTTGTAGAGCCCGGGTTTCACCATGTTGGCCAGGCTGGTTTCGAACTCCTGACCTCTGGTAATCCGCCCACCTTGACCTCCCAAAGTGTTGTGATTATAGGCATGAGCCACTGCGCCTGGCCAATTATTGTTAATGAATAGCCAATTGAAAGATTCTTAGAACTGTGAGCATGGCGTGGGAGGAGGGGACCAAAATATAAAAGCTTCTTGGAGTGTCCTTGTTTCAACTCTCTTGTTTTGCACACATTACATTCTAAGGTTGTGTGACTACACATTGATAGACCTATACATCGAACCAAGGATTTTCAGCCTAGCTCTTCCTGCATCCTTATGGGGAGGGGTGGCAGCAGGAGTGAAAAGAAAGGAAAAGAGAAACATTTTCAATAAGGGAGTACCTAGGCTTGATGACAGGTTGAATGACCCTGAAGAGCTGATAAGGCTAGAAGCTAACAGCATAGCTGATATTCCCCAGTGGCCTGAGGTTCCATTTTAGGAACTTTGTATGCATTAATACATTTAAACTTCACAATAACTCTTTCAGGTAGATACTGTTTTAATTGGCATTTTGTAGACAGAACAACTGAATCACAGAGAATTCCCAAATTATTCCCAAAAGGTGGTAGAACAAGGATTTGGACCCAAAGAAGCTAACTGTAGAGCCCCACCCTTAGACCACACTTGACTTCTCCAGACTTCTCCCCAGAAGAGTAAGCTTGGCATGGTGTGAGGGGGTCCAGGAGAGCACAGACCCCAATTCCACTCTCCTTACCCTGCGGTGCTTTCCCTAACCCAGAGACTGTTCCTCTTTTTGGAGAGGGTGGGGAGACGTCCTGATCTACTCATCCATATGGTACTAAACCGCAGATTGAGTCACATTGGCCTCAAAATGTTTCATGTCTATCTCTCTTGTTTCTCCAAAAGGGACTGAAACTTCCTTGAGACCAGGGATGGAGCTTTACACTTCTTTTAAAATCCATAGTGGTGGATACCTAGTAGTGGCCTGCTAAATACTGACGGTCTAATGGAAAACAGAGGAGTTTTAGAGATGGAGGAAAGATGGCCAGGGGCCTCAAAGCATATAGGGTATTACTGACTTAGCTTGGGGGTCATCACTGACAAAGATCAGACAAGGAAACAAAACAAAACTTCCTTTGATCTTGAAAAGGGCTCTTCCCAATGTCCCCAACCCTAATTCACAGATTGAGACATTTTTTAAAGTCAAGGTCATGAGCCTTCTTAGTTTGAATGAATACCTCATTGGTGCAGCACTGGTTCCTTTTAATGTTAAGACTATCTTGCCCCAAATTTTATTTTTTTTGGACTGAGTTCGCTTTCTCTCAGGGTCTGAGTTTCTGGATGGAAGTTTATTTGCTTGTGTGGTTCAAAAAATGGAGCTCTTAGAGTAACTTCTGGAGAGTGTCAGGGAGAGCCTTGATTCCTGGCTACGAATTCCCCCTCTTGTTTCCCCAATGGGTGCTATGAGCCATGAGTTAAGAGGTGGCTTTCGTCTTTTGCAAGGTGAGTCTGGGATGTATCTTCTTCAGGGTGGGCTAGAGGTCTCCTCATACTGAGGTTTCCACATCCATTTGGAAGTTCAAAACCCTGATTGTTTTCTCTACCCATGGGCCTGAAGTTCAAGGGCAAGGGTGGCTTTTTTTGGGAGGAAATCAGACAGGAGACTCTTAGAATAAACATCTCAGAGCTCACGCCATGACCCCTGCTTACTTCAAAGGGATGTTAAATACAGCCAGGGCCTAGCGTGCAGGGCAGGGCTCGCTTTTTAGAGCGACCCGGCTTTGGCTGGCATGCGGGCTTCTGGGACTAATGCTCACCCCAGATTTGTCCGCCCTGTCCCAGTTCCTTTCTTCAGAATTCCAGCCCTGCAACCTATCAGTTACAAGGGCTACCATCGCTTCATTCATTTGCAAGTCTCTGGTCAGCCTGTGGAGGCTGTGGGAGCCAGTGCTCAGTGCCAAGCATATAAGTGGACTCAAGATCCTTGTCTGGGGAAAAGTTTGGGGTCTTTGGCATTGACCACATTTCCCAGCAACAGGATCAATACAGATGTAAAAGAATAAAAATGAGAAACCTAGTCTCATCAGCTTAGGCTTCCCTTCAAAGAAGCCATTCATGGCATGGAGCTCTGACAGGTGGAGAGAAGCAGTGATCTGGAATTTCATCAGGAAAGTCTTGAAAGGACAGACTCCTTCAAGTTAGGCTGTTCACTGTGCATCTATAGTGGCTCCAAAAGTGAGCAGAACAGCAAAACTCTGCTGGCTCTGGACAGACTGTTAGCAGTTTCCTTGAGTGGAAAGAGGGGATCACAGCCTGGCAGCAACCTCCAATTAGCAGAGGGGAATTTGTAGGACACTTTGTGAGGAAAAGGCTCTGAGGTCAAAACAAAACCTCTGTTTTCTCTGGTAGTATCATCATGCTAAACCATTTTTTCCTCCTTGTTTTCAAGTATATTTCATTACATGACTCATCTAGTTGCTAATATATAAAGCTCTGACCTTGACCCATTCCATAAAGATTTCCAGAACCTCCCAGACACTGTTATTGGAAATGCAGCCTCTCTACACCAATGTTAACATCATTTAAAAAGAGAGTTAAGAGCCAGATTTTTAAATCTTTTTTTCTAGATTTTTGGAGCTAACTGATTATTTTCAAATTTCAGGGTTTACCGAGAACCCTATGGGCACAGTGAAATTGAAATTATATACAGTTTCAGAAAAACAGCAAGTCTGAACGTGTGTACTTTAACTTTTTTATGTTCAATTTTGTTGCTTTTGTATACATTGGTTTAGAATCCTAGCTATTTTGCCATAATCCCCTAAACTGAGATATATGGCAAAGTATCTGGGAGATTATTCGTCTCTCTATCAACTGTCTATCTATCTATCTTACAGTACAGTTATCAGAGTTTGAAAACTGTACTCTAATTATTTAAACATACTAGTAGAAGTAGTTTTTCAAACTACTAGTAGAAGTAGTTTTTCTTTAGTATTTGCCCAATCCTATGTTGTTTCAGTTAAAAAGCATAAAAAAAACAGACTCAAAGTAAAAATTCTTCACAAAATTGTCTAAAGTTCATAGGAATACAAAATATAATTTGACTTGAAATTATACATAATAAAAATTAACATAATTAAAAAGAATTAAAGGTACAAAGGAAACAGATACCTAAGTTCCATTAAATCATGAGCTCATTAGGCCGAAAGGAGGCCTGTTTACCCAGGTTTGTCACAGTCTCATCAAAGCCATAGGTGTGTATCTGACTGATTTTTAAGTCATCAGAGATACATACATTTTCTTAAGTGCGCTCCTGCTCACCGCCCAGGTCTTGGAAACAATCCTATGTTTTCAAGGTTTTGCATCTTGCTGTTTTAGGGCGGTAGATCTCAGGGGAGGCTAACGCGTCTCTGCCAAACACCTCTAATTCTTGCTGCCATCTAGTGGTAAATTTAGACACTGCAGTGCAACATGAGGGGAAGAGAAGACAGAAAGGTGGGGAGGAAAAAGGAGGGAGAGGAAAGGGAATGAAGGATGCGACCCTCTGGATCTAAATATGCACAAAACGAGCGTTTTAAAAGGTAAGAAAAGGAACAGATGTACATACTTTTTCTGCATCCGGATTAATGTAAATAATGGTAATTTTCACAATTGCTCGGTCTCTACGCCAAATGAGTAGAAATTGTGTACACAGGAACATCTACACCTTAAAAATACTCTTACTAATGTCAGAATGGAGAGCATGAAAGAGAATCATGGTGAACTGGTCTTTACTTCTGCTAGTCACGAGCCTTTGTTTAAAGTGGGTATCAAATGAAGGCACTCTAGGAGGAAAAATGTGACATCCACCAAATTTGACAACATTTCAAGGATTGGCTTGCTTCAGTTTATTCAGGTGCCTTTGGTTCAGGAAACAGAGTTACGCTTGGTTAAAAATTTTGAAGTTCAGAACTGCTGCTAAAGTAATCACAAAACCACAAGCTCACAAGGCAATGTAGCTGGGATCAGGGAGCTCCTAAATTTGAGACCCTCTGATCCTACTGCTTCGGCAGTCTAGGAAGGGAACATTTAACCTTTCACCAGATTTAGCTGAAGTTTGTAAGATCCTGGGCATTCCCAATGGTTTTAGCATTACCCGGCTAATTCCCACAGGCAAATGGAGAGGGGTTGAAAAACAATGCTTTGAACCCGAAAGAAAGCAGTGCTTATTGAAGGGTAAAAACCACTTACGACTCTGAACATTTTAAGCATCTGTGCATTTCATGGCAGAGCCAGTGGCCAGAATTAAATCTGTTGTTTTAAATCATGAGCTTTCAATGAGAGGACTGTTTTCTGCTGCACTTCTTGGTTTGTCTAACTGGTTTACCAGAAATTCCTGCTCATCACAATAGGTAAGGAAGTGGGGATTTTTGTTGATACCACTTGCATGCACTGGTTTTGGGCCTGGTGTACCATCCTAAGCTGAGCCAACATCACTGTCACGCTCTTTGGGACAGGTGTAGGTTTGTCTGAGATAGGTGTCAGAATTTGGACAAGGCTGTCCTCTCATTGGTCAGATAACTGGCTCCTTTATCTCTCAAACCCAGGTTTGAATATTGGACTTTCTTTGTCCCTTTCCTTTCCCTCCTTTTAAATTTCTCTCAAGTATTTATTGTTTTATTTTCACAAACCTCTTGGTGATATTGACCAAGTGGACTCAAGATCCTTGACAGGGCCAACATTCACTTAACAGTCTAATCCCAGCAGATAAGAATTTTTAAGGCGTATTGATAAGATACTGGAGAATGGCAGGGTTTGACCTATGGTTTATGCAACATTATGGAAAGAATTTTTTTTTGCAGAAAAAATTTCTTAAAAGTACATTCCTGCCACCGTTTTGATTAAAACTCTTAAAACCCACAACTCGTAACACAGGGTCAGCCTCCTTAATAACTAACATTTGCCTACTGTTGCTATTACCTTCCTTGTGTTTTTTAATGCCACAAACCCCAAACTGCTTATAGTTTTCAGAACATTCTTTATCACTTCTGTGGCTTGGTATACATTATTCTCTCTCTGTGTTAAATATAGCCCCCCATTATCTGTCTATAAGGTGGACATTCAATCTAAACCATATCTTAAATACTACTTAACAAAGTTAATTATTCCTCTCCCTGGTACTTTGCACCTTGTGTACATGGCCAGTGTTGCCATTTCATTATAATGTGATCACTCATCACATCCTCCTCTTCACTATTCGAGGGAGAGCTCCTCGACATTCTGGGCCTTATCTGGCTGTGAACCCATTGTAGCCAGGCTGGAGTGATCAGCTGAGGTGTGGTGAACTGAATTGAAGCTTTCATGAAATTCGGAGAAGCCCTACACATGGCACCCCCAGGGCGCTCAGGTTTTAAACAGACACAAGGGGTCCCTCTCTTACCTTCCTTCCAGCTATGTAACCTCCTGCAGCTCCAAAGCTTTTGGTGAATGTGCCCATGAGCACATCAACTTCGTGAGGGTCTAGTCCAAAGAATTCCGTGACACCTCGGCCAGTTGGGCCCACGGCCCCAATACTGTGAGCTTCATCTATGTAGAGGTAAGCCTTGTATTTCTTCTTTAGAGCTATGATCTGGGGCAGATGCACGATGGAACCTTCCATGCTAGGACAGAAGGAGATATGCTCATAACTAACAAATACCCTCCTGGGAAGCTCCGTCAGCTTCCCCATCAGTACATCCTAGGCAGTCTTCCCTGACACACACCATTCCTTTGTTCTGAAGGCATGTTTTATTTGTCTGAGACAACCCTCTCAATCTTGTAAGGCTGGTTGGGCATTTCTATGCTACTTGGATAAAATAATTTACATTCAATGGATTTAAGTGCTTTTGGTTTCAGCTAATTCCCAAGCAAACAATCAGCTCACTGCATTATTGATCCAATTTATTTGTAAAGCCAACTAGTGTAACTAGACTGACCATTTTGGATTCTAGTTATTCTGCTAGAATAGATTAAATTACTCTATAGTCATTCCCTTTTTCTGCCTGGCATTGTCTGTTTGGCCAGGTCTGTTTGACTTAAATTCAGTGCTTAAATTGCCATAGATTAAAAGAGGGAATTAAAAAGACACAGAACTTTATTTAAGACATCATAGTGTTAATTAAAGTACAGTAGGAAGTCTTTAAGACCTCTTGTTCAATACCCACTGCAAGTCAAAGACTGAGGTGTCTCCTCTTTCTGTTCCTTTAGGGTAGAGGAACAGAAAGTTGAGTGAGCATCAGAATCCTCTGAAGCGTTTGTTAAAACACAGATTGCTAAACTCCCACCCCAGAGTTTCTGATTCAGTCGGTATTGGGTGGGCTGAGAACATGCATTTTTGCCAAGCTCCCAGGAGATGCTACCACCAATGGTTGGGGACCACACATAAGGGCCACTGCTGTAGATGAGCTCTTTTGTTTTAGCCCGAAGTGCTTTATTTTTCATGATATTGTAAGCTGCAAAAGCACTTCAAGTCCTGTGGTCTGGGGAAGATACATGATAGAACCTTCCATGCTAGGGCAGAGAGACAAATGCTCTGCATTAACAAACACCCTCCTGGGAAGCTTTGTTACATCCTCTGGCACAAAGGGAAAAAAATGAAAAAAAAAAATAAGTAAAATTAAAATTTATATTTACATGGCACCTCTGGGACTCAATGGATTAAAAAAATCTGACACGAATCAGTTCTCAGAACACTTTGCAAGCTGTGTCTATGTTGCACACAGTTTTGACTGCGTTGACAGGCGAGTTGTACGAAAACACACAGACATACTCACCACACAAAGGAACTTGTCAAACAATTCAAACAACCCTTTAGGTTAGTTCAAGAGCTAATTCATTGAATCAAACAGAGTTGAACTTCTCCTTTTTCCCCTAATTATTTATTAGATTAAATTTAATGTATTAAAAAATAAGCTTAAGTGTTAGGTTGATTCAGTCAAAACAGTCCAGTTGGCTGTGTACACAGTTACCCAGACCAACGGGTGTTGGTTTGCAGAGGTATCATGATCATTGGGTGCAGCATTTGTGTGTTCCACGAGATAGTTTTGGATGGCCGAGTTCAGATTTTAATGAAATAAAGGCCAAATAGAGTTGTCTTTTCTTGTGTAAGTTTGTGAGTTAATTCCAACATGTTCTTAAATTAATTGCTTGTTAAAATTGTTTCCACTGAGGAGAAGACAGTCTGGCCATCTGGCTGCCTAAGTGTACTAACTTTGAACTTGGGCAATTTGCATGATGTTCTCTGCCTCAGTTTCCTCATATGTAATACAAACAGGATGATGGGCCTCTCTTCACATGGTCTTTATAACAATCACTTGAAGTCATGCTTGTAAACTACCTGATCAATGATGGGCATTTAGTGAATCGTTACGGTCCTTAGGAGGAGGAACAGGAGGAAATGGTTGTAACGAGTCCTAACTTGGGAAACTGGGAGCCCTTGACAATGTTCTGTGTTGAATCTTATACGAGTGAGGCATGTGCGTGTCATGCTGGATGTCATACATAATAAATGGCTGCAGGTCCTCAGAAATCTAGAATTTTCTTCTCTTTAAAATGTTGTAAGTTGGTAACACAAATATGCCAAAAAACCTGACATGCCACAAATAGCCATTCTTTGTTCTGGAACTGAATTTGACAGGAGCCAAAGTTAATGTTCCACAGTGTTTGCAGACACTGCAGGCAGCTAATTAACCATCCTTCCATGGAGCTGGTCTAGCTGATGTTAGGAGCCTGCCCACCTGGTTTATATTTCTTCCTCTAAGATTAATGACTCTACAATACTGCTGACTTCTGGAGTTAATGCAGGGCACACATAGAGTCCTAGGGAGAACTCAGCTTTTATAGAGTTATATTCACCCACACTAAGTTTTCATTTTCACAATGTGATCAAATTTGAATTGAGCCTTTTCCCATAGTGGGATGGAGTCTAGTGTATGCATAAAAAGGCTATCTATGTTATTCCCATGAATTGCTGTCAAAAAACAGTGCCAAAAATGATACAGAAAACAAGAACAGTGTTTTATTCTTTCTTCCTGAATGGAAGGTTGTGTTTTTCTTTTGACTTCAATAGAAGAAAAACAACTAAAACACAACTGTAGGTAAAGATAATTCCATGAGTTAATTTGAAGCTCTGTTCAGGGACTTGAATTATTCTTAAACCAGCAAGCCAGTGAATAATTCCTTTATATCTTTTCTATTACATAATGTATTAGCTAAGTGACAAGCCTCCTTTTTGAAATCTCCCTCTCACCACTTTTCCCTCCACATATAAACCATATTATCCACTGGCAGAGGGAGAATTAAACCACTGGCTAGCTAACTCACACGGTGGAAAAATCTCCTTGGTGGGCCCAAAGTATAACTCAAAACAAGAAAGCAAGGTGGAAAGAGAGAAAAAGAAAGTTAAGATCAATGAAAAATAAAGTTACGAATGTTTTCTTGTTCTTTTCTTTATTTGTTTAAATCATAGAGATACAGGTGAGAATTTACCACTGAAGTTCTCAATCCTTAAATTTACATTGTTTTGAGCGTAGGAGAATAGATTACACTCTTAGAGTAAATGGTATTCTGAGGTTACAGCATATGTGCCTATGTTTATGTATGTATTTGTTTTGGAAGAGCTGACTATTATTTCTTGATTAATTTTATTTTGAAAGTTAGTGCTCCAGCTATGCTAGCTTATGTCCCAGGTTAGTGCTCCAGGTATGCTAGCTTATGTCCCAGGTTAGTGCTCCAGGTATGCTAGCTTATGTCCCAGGTTAGTGCTTCAACTATGCTAGCTTATGTCCCAGGTTAGTGCTCCAGCTATGCTAGCTTATGTCCCAGGTTAGTGCTCCAGCTATGCTAGTTTATGTCCCAGGTTAGTGCTCCAGCTATGCTAGCTTATGTCCCAGGTTATTTGGGACACCATATCTTAAGGATATGTTTGAATAATTTTGATATTCTCTACCACTGTGAGTTGATAAGAGATCTAGACTTCTCAGAGACATGAAATTAGAAAATGAGATTTTAAAACGATACTTAATGAAAACATACAGCTCAGAACACTGAAATAATACTGTTTTAGTTTTAAACCCAAAGTCATGCATTCATGAAACTTTGGATTTCAAGTTTCAATGCTCGTGTGTTACAGATGAAGAAATTGAGGCCTAGATAGGTTAATGGTAAAGGTCAAATGGGTGATCTTGCATTTTCCGTGTTTACTTCATTGGATGTGGACACATGGGCTGACTCTTCTATTTACATTGAGCCTTTGTCTCACTAGGGCCACCTGGTTTTAATCCCAGCTCTGCCTCATCTCAGTTATCTGTCCTGGGGCAAGTTGTCTAAACCTCTGAGCCTCAATTTCTTCATATTTACAGTAACTTCTTGGAGGCTTACTCAAGGTTGCACATGGGAAATGTTAGCAAGGAGTAGATACATGGTCTATGTGAGTTTCTTTCTCTAACGTCCACTTTCTGGATGGATGAAGAGCAAATAACCTTGCAACATAGATGACTTATTGTTTTCTGAGTTGCAACTTCTTAGACTGAAAATCAATGTGACGATGAAGACAGCCACTCTTGGTTGTGAGCTCTCTATGGGCCCAGCCCTCTGCCAACACTAGCTTATATGACCTCATTCAATACTTATCATTACCGAAGTACCCTATGGAGGCCACACAGATGTAGGTGGTGATGCCAGGATTTGAACCTAAGTCCCAGGCCTGCCTCCAAATCCTGACTCCTCTATATTCTACATAAGAATAATAATACCTATGAATGATGACATTATTATTATTAGTTTGATGACTTCTCAGACTGGGTATCTAGCCTTTTCTATCTCGATATCTCCCTGAAAATTTCTGATTTGGCTGATTGCTCTCTTTGGGGGTTATGAAAAAATTGATGTGTGTGGGCTCTGTGGTGATGTATGTGGGGGTTCTTTAGCCATGGTGGCAGACCACAAGCAAGAGAAAAAATCTGGGAGTTAAAATTCAAAGGAGGCTTTGTGTAGGTATCAACAAGATATGCATTCCTAATATACCTCTGAAGGGTAGGAGTGCATTTGTGAACTATTGACTTCACATTCCTAACCCTCCTTTGGAAAACACTATGGGAAATAATGTTTTTTGTTTGTTTGTTTTGTTTTTTTTTTTTTTTGAGACAGAGTCTGTCTCTGTCTCCCAGGCTGGAGTGCAGTGGCATGATCTTGGCTCACTGCAACCTCCGCCTCCCAGGTTAAAGTGATTCTTGTGCCTTAGCCTCCTGAGTAGCTGGGATTATGGGAGTGCACCACCACACCTGGCTAATTTTTGTATTTTTAGTAGAGGTGGGGTTTCACCATGTTGGCTAGGCTGGTCTCGAACTCCTGACCTCAAGTGATCCACCTGCCTTTGTCTCCCAAAGTGATAGGATTACAGGCATGAGCCACTGCATCTGGCCTTATCTGGTGAGAGTTGCAAATTAGAACACCTGTGTAAAGCCTTTTCCTTTGAGGTTTAAGGCTGTAGAACTGAACTCTAGGCTACCTTTATTTACAGATAAGGAAATTGAAGCCCCTAAGAGCTATTGAGGCTTGTCAAAGAGATGCCCTGTTTCCTATCTGTGAATGTGGCCTTTTAGGTCTTGGTCTCATTTAAAGCCAACATTCCTGTGTGGGTGAAATGAAAGGAACCTCCTTGTGAAGGAAATTTCATGGAAAGTGGGGACTTCACTCTGTGTCGTCACCAGGTTGACTGAACCACTGTGGTAGATGGCTTCCGAAGATGGCTGCCTGCAAAGCTTCCCATCCTTGTACATACAAGTGGATCCTCCATCGGGGGTAGGGTATATTTCACCTTCTTTTGAATCTGGGCTGGCCTCATGATGTGCTTGGGCCAATGGGTCAGGGCAGAAGGGATAATGTCCCAGGGCTGGCAGCCTTCACTTTTGCTCTGTTGGAAGCCAGCACCACGTTGTAAGGGAGTTCTGAATAGACTACAGAATGAGAAGAGACTATCTATAGAGAAAGCCATGTGGAAGAGAGCATGGCACTCCAGGCGAGAGCCAGTACCGAGGGCCAGATGTGCAAGTGGCGTCATTTTGGATGTTCCAGCCCCAGACAAACCATCAGCTGAATGAAGTGGCCTCCACCCAATGCCATGTGGAGTAGAAGAACTGTCCAGTTGGTCCACACAACCCACGGTAGCATGGGAAAGAATAAATTATTGCTGTGTAAACCATTATGCTTTGGATGGTTTGTTACATGGCAATAGGTAACTGAGCAGTCACTATTGCTAGTGCAATGAAAATTGTGGTTTGGTGCCACTCTGGCTTGGAGCTGGAAGTCCACACCTGGCTCCTTTGTCCTTCTGAAGTGGTGGGATGCAGGCCTGGCATGACCAGTAATAAGTCCTGCTGCTGGAGTGGTTTCTCTGTGTGGCTGATGGGAATATTTGCCAGTAAAATGCCGGTGGTCTACTTAATTTCAGCCATGATCAAAGTGGTTAAGACCTAACTTTCCTTTAATGGAGCCAAGTTCTGTTTATTTGCAGTTGGGGTTTTGTTTACTCTGCTTAAAGGAGATGCCCAGTCTGCTCTCTCTCAGCTGCTCTGTCCTCCCACAAATCTAGGCCTGAATGACAGGTGTTTAGATACGGGCTATTTGCTCCCCTCCCAGGCTGGCAGCAGCACAAATCACACAGGGAAAAAGATCCACACTTGAGGTTACGATAGCCCAGAGTCAATATGAGATTATTTCTTAAAATAACAAGTTAAGGCCTACAAGTTGTCAGTTATACCAGAACAGGTTTTCTTGGCCTTGGTACTATAGACATTTTGAGCTAGATAACTCTGTGTTATGGGGGCTGTGCTGTGCATCGTAGGATGCTTAGCCGCATCCCTGGCCTCTGTCCACCATATGCCAGTCACACACTACTGCAGTTATAATGACTCAAAATTGCCAAATGTGCCTAGGCTGGGGCAAGGACAAGCTTAGCCTGGAGAACTACTATGTCTAGAGTGCTCCCAAAGACTTCATCAACAGTACGTACTCTCTGGGCTGGCTGGAGGAGGTACTGGGAGGTGATGTAGAAAGTGAGCTAGTAGAAACTGGAAATGCAAACTTTGCATTTCCCACAGTAGGACGGGGAACATCCAGAACCCTAGCCACGGGGGCAGTAAGTACTGGAGTTAAAAATGTTAAAAATAAAATGAAACCGAGCTTATTATTATCATTCTTTTAAAGTTGGGAGAATTCACTTTTTTTTTTTCTTTTTTTTTTTAAAGGCACACTTCTGCTGCTGCTCATTATTCACTCACGTAGCAGAAAAAATGTGCACTCAGGGACTAATGAGATTAGCGGGTTGAAAGAAATCCTATGTCTATTCTCAAGTCTCCTTTGTAGCCATACTCCTCCTTGTCTTAAAGTTAAACAGCCTTAGCTTCCTTCCTTTTAATGTTTTTCACTTTTCTATCGTTATAAGAGATATCTCCCTCAATTTGTCCAACGTCAGGATTGTTTGAGAATTGATTTAGGATTGGGCACTCTGAAATAATGTCTCCTTGGCTTAGGGACTAGACATCAGCGCACTCCTACCTGCTGGCTCTGGAACAAGAATTGCACTCCAGGTTACTCCGACCTTGAGCAAAACAGGCAGATTTTTTGTATTCTGACGGCAAGCACTAACCAAGTTCAGCAAGCAGCTGGGGGTTGGGCATGCTGTCCAGGTAGGGGCATCTGGGCCACCCGTCAGCAATTTCTACCAGTCATAAAGGCAAGGAGTGTTCTGATCTTGAATAACCCAGCTGCAAAACACCTTTGAAACTCTGGGGCAGTCAAAGGTAGTGGAAAGAATCTACTCAAGTTAGCACCGCCTTGCGAGGGTATTTCTGAGGAAGCCTTCTCCAGCAGGATAGCCTCCAAGCTGCTCCGCCATAGAGAGTCATCAAAAAGACAGATGACCCACGTCTGACAGCTCCCATTGGTGGCTCTGTCTCAGGTCCCTCCGTAATAACCGATTCTAAGTCATTGCTCTGTTTAGCTAGGAGAGGTCAGCCTTTCCGCACTGATCAGCTTGCTGCAGGCCTGCTAGTCGTAAAATGTGTTCCATTATGTACATACCTGTAGACACCCTCCACCAGGATGAGAATCTTTTTCCAAGCTCTGCGGGTTCGAGGCTGGCCATAGATGACAGCATCTCTCAGGAGCTTCTCTAGGCTTTGTGTGTCTTTAAATAATACCAAAAAAGAAATTCAGTCATGAAAGGGCTTACTTTTCCTTTTCCACTTTCTTTTTCCAGATGTTTTATGTTTACACTCAGACCTAAACTTCCAGAGAACAAATTCAGAATCAGAGAACCCTTAGGGAGAGTGACAGAGAGGTCTATTTTTCAGTAGAATTTAAGTCTGACAAGACAAACAGCCAGATTTCTACAAGTAGGCAGAGCAAACTCTCACCAGTAGGGCATGGTTTCCTAGACTCTTAAAGGCTCTCCCTGCCTGCCTTAGAGAGATTGAAATTCTACGTTAAATGCATCTCTTAGGTCTAAGCTTTGTTGCAGGCTGAAATGAACTCCGAGAGACATAATTAATACCACTCATCAATCGTTTAGACACGAGCGTGTTAGAGTTTAGCTGAGTTTGCACGGATCTCACTTCCTACCCTTTGAGACTTGATTTCTGACATCCCCCAACCTTAGAAGTTCCAAAACTTTAGCAGTGGGACAATGAAGCCTCTTTTTCAAAATATTTGGAGATCTCTGAACACAATAATAGCTGGCAGTTATTGAGCCCTATCTGTGTGCCAGTCACCCTTCTAAGCTCAGTTTTTGTCATACCTCATTTAATCCTCAGAAGAACCATCTGAAGGAAGTACTAGTAGCGTTTCCATTCTATGGTTCAGGAACTGAGGCACACAGGAGTTAACTGCCTGAGGTCTATCATAAGCAACAGAATCAGGATTTGAATCCATGTAGTCTGTACCATATCCACATTTGTAACACTACCCTTTGCTGCCTTATGTGGAAGCCATTGTCCCTGCTTCTCAAATGAAACGGTGATGTAGAACAAGAGAGGATGAATGTTTGGCAGAATAATCTTGTTAACTTCTAATGTCAAATATAATCAATAGTGACATTTCATTTATCTGCAATCAGATGTAGATGACTGGGCTTGGGTTGAGAGGTCATTTAGAAGAACTTGCCTACCAACCTAGCTGTTTGGTATGTATGTGTGTGTGTGTGTTATTTTGTTTTTAACTTTCGAGCCTAGCAAGAAAAAAATGGCCGAGGCTTATGGGCATACTTTTAAGACTGATTATATTTCTACTGTGTATTTTTTTTTGCATTTCCTGAGCTTTCTCTTTTTTGAGAATCTGAAACTGAAATACTTTAGGTCCAGAATCCAATCTTAATTTTAAAAGATGGAGATGCTACTTAACTGCTGGCTTGACTATTATGCAATGTTCACCAGGCATTAGAGACACCATTTAAAATGCTCACAAAAGATGACATCTAGCAAAGATAAATCTTTGAAGTCAGGAGTTCGGGACCAGCCTGGCCAACATGGTGAAACCCACTCTCTACTAAAAATACAAAAAATTAGGTGGGTATGGTGGTGGGTGCCTGTAATCCCAGCTACTCGGGAGGCTGAGGCAGGAGAATTGCTTGAAACCAGGAGACGGATGTTGCAGTGAGCCGAGATTGCACCGCTGCACTTCAGCCTAGGTGACAGAGTGAGACTCTGTCTCAAAGTGAAAAAAAAGTTAAATCTAAAGCTGCATACTGGTTTTGACCACGATAGACAAAGCTCTCAAGAAGCAGATGTGCATTGGCTTATCACTCACTGGTCTAGGCTCAAATTAGCTGCAGTTCTTGGTCTCAATGGAGAACCCTTCAACTTTGTCTTTGAGTCTCCAGTCTGTGCTTGGATCTGTTTTAGGGCTTCCCCCAAAGCTGCGTGAATGCACTAACTTTTAGTGGGTGCATTAACTTTTCCATACTGCAACCCTGCCACACTCAATGAGGCCATAAGATAGTTCTTTGAAATAGAGTTCTGAATATATTTGTGTGTGTGTGTTTTTTTAATTTTTTTTTACATTTAAGCAAACCATATTTAAATAAAGGTGCCTTCCTATGAATTGGAGTGGGATAGGACAAGTCAGAATTTGACTGCAATATGAGAACCTCAACTCTGAGAGGCCCCTGTTAGTGTGGCACCTTCCAAGCTGTCGTCAGCATCCACCCACTAGAGACTGGATATTGGGTCCTGAAATTCAGAAAAAGCGTGTGACATGAATAAGATGCTGCATACTAGCAAGATCTCTTGGGAATCTAAACAGCAGTGTTAATACACCATTTGATTTCCTTTAACCTCCTTAAGAAAACATCATATAAATAATGGAAAAATAAAGGAAATACATAATGAAATAATGAAGAATTAAGGGAATAATTCTTTATTCAAATATATAATGCCTTAGGTATTAGATACAGTATGCTATCAGTATGCTACCAATAATATCTGGCATGATATCAGAACCAACAGATACAAAAAAAGGTCATTTTCCTTTCTTTAATCATTAGCCAGAAACTAACTTTTTAGGTGCTATGTAAGTTTAAATGTGGAAATAATCAATTTCACCAAGACCATAAGGACCTGTGAAAGAAGAAATGGAAGAATGGTGGATCTTTTTTTTTGTTTCATGCCACTTTCCTTTTCTTTCTTCTTTTTTTTTTTTTTCATCTGCAAAGCAGGCCTCATGATATCCTGGCATCACTATTGTATTCTTTTCACATAATATTCCCTAATTGAAAAATTTACAGGGCTTTCCTCAGTTCTTGTTTTACTTGACCTGTGGGCAGCATTTGACAGAATTCAACACACACTTATCTTTTAAGCTTCTTCCCTCGGCCATCTGGACACCATTTTTCATTGGTTTTTCTTATTCCTTTTCCCACTATTTCTAGTATTCTTCGTGAGCACTATTTCCTCTTTTAACCTATTTTCCTTTTATGTTTCTTCCTTGACTTTTTTTTCTATTTTCTCATTAATCTTCCAGTGGTTCCCAACCTTCAGGATGAATAGAAATAATCATCTGGGTAACCAGTTAAAATGCAGATTCTCGAAATTTCTACTCAGAGATTTTGAATCAGTTGGTGTGGGACAGGACCCAAGACGTTTGCACGCACAGTGTGCCTGGGGTCTGGAACTCATAACACAAAGCCAGACCTCTACTTTGATTGATATAGTGTTTTTCTAACCATTTTTTAGACAAATATGGGAACCTCAAACCCATTTCCAAGATAGAACTTGCTGCAGACTACATTATTGGCCCCATTTGCCACCTCATTTGAGTTCCTTCTTCTGTGACTTTGCAGTCCTTCCCTCTCACCGGTGGAGAAAGTTTCCCTGCCCCTTGGCTTGGGTTCAGCTAAGTAACTTGCTTTGGCTAACGGAATACAGAGAAGAGACAGTTTGCTAGTTCCAAACCTAGATCTAAAGAGGTCGTTTGCATTTCTACTCTTTCTCTTGTGCTTCTGCTAGTGACAGAAAAAGAAAACGCCCAGGCTAGACCCCGGTCTCAGGTTGGCCCTGGGAAAGGATTAATGGCACGTAAGGCACGGTTACCTCAGCTCACCAGCAGTCTCCAGTGAGAAATATGTGCTGATTATTATTGGCCACTGAGGTTTGTTCCAATAATAGTTGCCTAATACTATTAGGGAATGTCCCTTCCTGATCTAGCCTCTGCCTGTCTTTTTGACATAGTTTGTCAACATCCCCCAACACACAGCCTCCTGATTCTCCTCCATGCTTTTTTTCCTCTTGTCTGTCTGGAGAGTGCTCACCCATCACTCAAGTCTTAACCCAAACTCTTCTCGTCAATAACACAGAACAGAGTTAAGGACTTCCTCCTTGGTGTCCCTCTTGACTTTGTCTGTTCTTTTTAAAGCACTCATCACGATGTTCATTTTTTGCTTTCATCTCTCTCTTCCCTGAAGGCAGGGACCTCGTCCTCATCCTTCTCGCCCTAGTCTTAGGACACAGTACTAGGCTTAATCATTATCTAATGATTGCATCAATGTTCTTTTCCTGGAGAAAGAACGTAGACTAGGAGACAGGCAAGGAAATGCCACTTGTGGATCTAAATAAGAATTATTAGAAAAGATAAATGTCTCCTACCTGCAATATATTTTAAAAAATTGATGGTATCTTTTGTTTTAAACACGAGCAGATAGATATTTTTTGAATGTTCCCAAGAACGTGTTTTAGTGTATATTATTAACCACCAGATGGCAGCCAAAGAAACAAAAAAGAGGCTTTCTTGTTTTAAAATTTTCAGTTAATAAACTTTCACCTATTTAGATATCTTCTTTTCACTTTTGTTTAGGCAGAGTTCCTAAAATACTGAAGAAAACCTTGCGACTTGGTTCAGAACCGGTCTTCTTTTCCTATAATCTTTTATTTATTATGTCTATAATCTTCTATACTATTATTCATCATCTATAACCAAAGTTTCTGAATGGAATAAAGAGATGGTGAATAAAAGTATTTCTGTTAAGAATGTTTTCCCTTCCGGGACTTGGAATTTATAAGTTTTTGTGCAGAAATGCTACATGGTAAATGTGACTCCAATGCCATTGGAATAAAAACTAAACCCAAGTGAAGTACATTAGTAGTCATTTTAAAATGAATATTCTAAGATTTGGAAAAAAATATGTAAATTTAGAGGCTACTGTGTTTTTGCACCAAAAAGGTCACATACACACGATGGATTAATCCAGGATTTAAAAATGAACACCACGAGTCCTGAAGAGAAGCTTTTCTCCATTTTTAAAAATAACACGCAAGACATGAAATCAAGCCTTTCAGTGGCCGCGCTGTGTTTTATACATTTCACAGAGGGAAGCAAGAGGAATCTCAGTGTTTTCCAAGGCAAGGACTTCGTTGTGTTTGACTGGAATGGAGATTTCCATGGGAGTGGTTTTTGGTGGAGTTCACAGCACCCCCAGGGTCAACACACCAGGATTCTTGAGCAGAAGGAAAATCAATTAGCGTTTTTTTTTTTTCTCTCCTGCGAGGGATGAACTCTCCGACCTCTTAGAATCACAGAAGCTACACAGGAAAAGGGAAGACTGTGCTGGGCCTGGATTCTGGCCCCACCTTAGCCCCTGGTATGTTCCTCTCTTATTCTCTGTAGTTCTACAGGGCTACAGTGCGTGGGTTACAAACC